TCTATTCCTGCTGTCTATAAAGGACATTTTAAATAAGAGACTCCTTTTGTTGGTCCTTGAATCAAAGTTCTGTTCTCTGTGCAGCACCATTATCAGAAGAAAGATACTTCACATAAATGCTGTGGAAAACTTGTAAACCCTCCCAATTCCCTCTGTTGTGGCCTCTAGCACCTCAATCTGGTATCTGTTTTCCCTCAAGCCCTTGGGGAATTGATATTTCCATCCTCCAGTTCTGGAATATCTGTCAACTATAGGTATTTAATAAATGTTTGTTGAATGGATGAATGAATGAATAAGTTGATGGTGTAAAACAAAGTTCGCATAGATAGCTAAATGTAGTGAGACTTTCAGGTTGGATACTCAAATTGCATAGTCCTTTTAGCAAAATGTAATCAAGTTTAAAGGCTAAAACTACCTACTCTACATTAAAGAAGCCATTAAACTTCATTTGAACAAACAAAGCAATTAGTTCCTGCTCTATATTTGTAGCTTGTGATAATGCATTTTAAATAGAGCCCATTGAGTGTGTTTTTATTGGTTATTTTTCTTGGTTTTAACACTCCATTGTGTGCAAAGACCTCTTAGAAAATTGAAAATAAAAGTCTCTCCTTACTGATTTTGTCATTTTCCATTTGTCAAATATTGATTTTCTCCCTCCTTTGTGCATCTAATGGAGGTTGAAATTAGTGCCCCCCTTTTTGGGTGTTATTTCTTATTTGTACACATCATCTTCATTCATCAAACTGCCAGTGAACTTAGGGGATCATGCTGGTGAGTTAACTGAAGTCCACGCAAGGAATATTTTGAATAAATTTTTGCTATAGCTTTAGCTCTTGCCTTTAGAATTTCTTCCTAGAAAATATTTCAAATATAGGGGGCATTCCTCAACAAATTATATATATATATATATATATATATATATATATATATATTTTTTTTTTTTGTGGTATGCGGGCCTCTCACTGTTGTGGCCTCTCCCATTGCAGAGCACAGGCTCTGGATGCACAGGCTCAGCAGCCATGGCTCACGGGCCCAGCCACTCCGTGGCATGTGGGATCTTCCCAGACCGGGGTACGAACCCCTGTCCCCTGCATCGGCAGGCGGACTCTCAACCACTGTGCCACCAGGGAAGCCCACAAATAGTATTTTTTAAAGAAAAAAATAACCCAAACTCCTTTTAGCTTTTTGTTAAATTAAAATCATCTGGAAATTCAAAAGAAAATATTCCGGAGATTAAGGAGACTATCTCTCTTCTTCAAAAACATATATGAACCCAAGGTGCTGTATACTTGGTTGCTCTGCTCTTCCTACCTTGACATTGGAGGATCTGTTCCATGAAGCCCTCACTGTGACTGTGATGAGGATATCACAGTGGACATCAGTTGGAAAGGAAGCATTGTTCTAGTTAGCTGGGGAAGGGCCCGGGGGTGGGGTGCAGGGTATAAGAGGCTGTACGATTTGGGTGTGTACTTGTGAAAACATAGTCTTCTCTTTATGTCTTAGATTGATTGGATTGGCTCTGAAATTCCCTCAACAGTGAGAATAAATCCAGGGGAAGATGATTTCTCCTAAGGGTAAGAATGATATTTCTGGAGTGGACCAAACACTGCATTTGATGATGAGGAATGAGGTGTGATGAATCTGGAAAGTGAAGAGTGAAAAGAAGATAGGCACCAGACACAGTTCCAGGCACCCTACCTGCATTAATTCATTCAGTCTTCTCATCAGTATTATGAAGGTACTATTGTTATTCCCATTTTTAAAATGAGGAAACTAAGGTACAGGGAGATGCATGGTCCCCAGCACGTGGTGAGTGCTCAGTGGTTGTTTTGTTATTGTTGTTGTTATTATTATTGCTATTATACTGGTGGTTCCAGTGGTTAGACCCATACATGCAGACAATCAGTCAGACATTAAATAACACAATGCTGTTAATTTGTTTTTTTGTAGTTCAATCTGATATTCCTTTGTCAGTTTGTGCTTCTCCTGAGCCCTACTTACTATTATGTCTCCTCTTCTAATAAACTGGAGTCTGGGCTGGATTAACAGCAAATCGAAAAGGTAGATGGTATCACATATGATGTCCGTAATAAGCCAGTAGCGTGCGTTGTTTGGTGTTTGATATGGGAAGATGATGCGCAGCGGTATAAGCCAGCAGTTCCAGTTAAAGGCAATGGTGACAAGCAAGAGCCACAGGAGATAGAATCGATCTAGAAAAATAGAGACTGGAGTAATCCACATGGCATGTAAAAAACATTAAAATAATTCTGTTGCTTAGTTTGGTAAAGTTGGGGCACTACCTTCTGGAGATAAGCAATTTGTATAAGAGACTGTTTAAAACATTCAGTACAATTCTGCCCCTAGAGTCGAGGCACTGGGGTTTACGAGGGATAAGTCATCTTATCAACTTTTCTGACATTAAAGAGTGTTCTTCCTGTCTCCTAGAGAAGTGGCCACCGAGTCTGTCCCCATGAGTGACTGTACTATTTAGATCAGGAAAGGGGAACCCAGGGAAAAGTCAGAGGTACTGTGTCCAGGAGAACTGACTCAAAGGGCTTTATGCTGGTTGGTAATTAAGCTGCAGGATCACCCAGGGCTTGTGAGCCAAAGGTCACATCTTGCCCACAAGGGTGTGACTGAAGTGGGGAGGGGGCAAAACAGCCAGTGAAGGCAGTCCATGACCCTGTACATAGGGCTTTCCTCTGCCCAAGGGAAGCTGTAGGAGGGGATTTGTTCAATTGGATTAATTAACTGTGTGAAGCCATGGAAGAAGACAAACATTTTATAATGATTTTTTTGGGGGGCTGTTCAGTGAACATATTACTTAATGCTTTGGGACTTCTTTTAGAAGTTAATTAGGGACAGGACAGGCCCTGGACTATTTAAAAAACACACGGGAATATTTTTATCTCATCTTCACTGGAAAGGGGAAAACAGCACATTGCAGATAATACAGCTTAAATTCTGCTTTCTAGATAGGTTCAGAACACTGGCTAGAGAAAATGGAAGCTCTCTGTGACTTTGGGTTTCAGGTGTTCTTGGTAACAGCCAGCCCTCCCACTGAGATAATCCACCATTTGATGGTACCTGTGTATGAATCTATGCTTTTTGGAAGTCTGATTCGCTTTAGGTACTCTGTTAGAGGCACCTTCTGATAATGTTCTTCTTTTAGCTTAGCACTGCTTTCTTGTGTTGATGATACAACTGTGGGCTTTGCTTTATAGGAAAAAAGAGATGAAAACATTTTTAAGAGGTTAGGTTAGCTTAATGAGAAAAAAGCTTGGATTTCTTGGAATCAAAACATTCCAAAATCTTCCCCTCTCAATACAGGCAGATGAGGCATTTCATGACATTTAAAATATTGCCATTTGTGAAAATATCTAAGTAATGAAAACATCAAAAGTTGGAAATAAATAGCAGGTTTAAAGTTTAAATTAAGTGTCCCAAAGATTATACAAATAGGATATTTTAAATACAAGTTTCATTCCCACACATTTTGGAGCATAAATAATTAGTGCTTTGGATTTACATTGAACAGAAACATTACAAATGTGCACCATTCCACAGGTTTCAGTTTCATGCTTCTTTTTTTTTTAAGTCTTTATTGAATTTGTTACAATATTGCTTCTGTTTTATGTTTTGTTTTTTTGGCCGCAAAGCATGTGGAACTCAGCTTCCTGACCAGGGATTGAACCGGCACCCCCTGCATTGGAAGGCAGAGCCTTAACCACTGGACCACTAGGGTAGTCCCCTAGTTTCTTGCTTCTTTAGCTTCATTTATATCCTTCCAGTTATGGGTAAGTAAAGCTCAAAATATTCTTTACAACAAATCTTTATCAAGCTATAATGACTATATGTTAGACGCTTCTCTTTAAAAAGAAACTATATATAATACATAGTTTATTTTGAAAATCCAACTTTCTTCCTACAGAATTATAAGGAAATCCTCAACTCCATCCTATATAATTAACAATTTTGTTTTTATTTATCTGTTATTAAACAACACACTTTCTTCTCTACTTTTGCTATACATTTATAAACATTTTTTGTTAAAGATTTTTTAAAATTAATTAATTAATTAATTAAGTTTTCGTTGTGTAGGGTCTTCGTTTCTGTGCAAGGGCTTTCTCTAGTTGCGGCGAGTGGGGGCCACTCTTCATCGCGGTGTGCGGGCTATAAACATTTTATATAGATGTAATCATGGTATATATATGTATATATACTATATATACATATATACACCATGTATCTATGTATATATGACATATATATCACTTTTGTGCTCTACTTTATTGTACTTATTAATTTTTCATAAGCACATTTCTGTAATTATTAGATAGACTGATAATTGTCTCTCTCCTTATGTGACTAGTTCACTGATGTCCTTTGCTGTGTTGTGTACTCAGGTAGTATTCTTGTATTCTTATTATAAGTGCTTTGTTTACTATGGGTATTATTAATTAATATTTACAATAAAACTTTCTATAACAGATATTGTTGTTGGCCTGTGCATATTCTGTGGGCCAGAGGTCATGTGCAGAAGGCTCCTTCATCTCTCTGCCTCGGGGATTTCTCCCAGCTGGCTTGCTTAAAATGCTGGAGTATTAGCAACATTCCCCAGCAGCAACCCTCAGCCAACGAAGGACAGGAGTTGATGGGTTGATACCCCAGCTTCCTCTTTCTTCAGGATAATTCTGATGTGTCATCCACACAGATTTTCAGCTGGCTCAAGCCCCAGTGGCCCACAGCAGTAACACTTCATTAACACGCCTTTATTGTCTTAACTCCCTTCTCTGTCTCTCTTGCCCACTCTCACCTCCTGGAGCACCCTCAATATAAAATATTTATAGCTAAATCATTGTCTTGGGGTTGGCTTTTGGGGAACCCCAAACTAAAACATTTGCAAAATACATGTCCACTCATAACCTCCTTTTTCCTGGTACTTTGAGGTCACACTGCTCACCAGTTTGGGGGCTGCCTTCAGGTGAGGACATATCACCTTCCACCAACTTTCTCTTGTAGAAATCTGTTCTTTGATGCAATCTCCTCACTAGGTTGTGTAGCTGGGCATCGGCATACTCATTAATAACAGGGGCTCCAAGTGGTTTGCTTTTTGGACTAAATGAGAAGAAAAAAATGGTGACAGAGTTGGACCCATGAGGAGAAACATGCAGGGAAGGGATTAAGTCTCTTCACCTTCCTTATATACCCAAGATTATTAACTGCTCCTTTCTGCAATTGGATAGAACAACTTAAGCATTAAATTTGATGGAAATAGTGCTCATGCAATACAGATTTGCCATTGAAAAATTAGAATCCAGAAATAGCAAATGAGTATTCTTGACTGTGGTTCTGCCATTAGACTGTATAGTGAGAAGAAAAAAAGCTATAGTTGACAAAATAGGCAGCGTTGTAAGATGGCTCCTTTGTGTACATGTCCTGCATAGTCCCAGGGAAAATTAATATGGTGGATTTTACTCCTATAATTAGTTGTGTTATGTGGCTCAGTTGATTTTAAGATAAGGAAATTATATAGCTGGGCCTGATGTAACCAAATGAGCCCTTTAAAAGCAGAGAGTTTCTCCAGATGGTGACAGAAGAAAAAGTCAGAGATCTGAAGCACAAGCAGAACTTTACTTGAGAGAAATTCTCTGTTTTGGGCTTTGAAGGAGAAAAGGGTCCCCTGATAAGAATTGCATGAGGCCTCTAGGAGCTGAGAGTGATCCCTGGCTAGTTAACAAGGAAATAAGGACCTCAGTCCTGCAACCATAAAAAACGGCATTTTGCCAATAATTTGAATGAGATTAGAAGGAGATTCTTCTTTGGTGCCTCCAGGTAAGAACCCAGCCAGGCCTGGCTGACACTTTGATATCAGCTGTGTAAGACCTTAAGCAGAGAACCCAGCCAAGCCCACCCAGACTTCTGATCTATGAAACTGTGAGCTAGTAAATGGGTGTTGTTTTAGGTCTCTAAAATTGCCATAATTTGTTATTCAGCAGTAGAAAACTAATATATCTAGTGTGCTTTAATGAGCTTCCCTTCTAAGAAAACATATAAAGCATAACATAAAGTAAGTCACCTACATATGAACGAGTTCCATTCCAAGAGCATGTTCCTAAGTCCAATTTGTTCATAAGTCCAACAAAGTTAGCCTAGGTACCCAACTAACACAATTGGCTATATAGTACTGTCCTGTATTAGGTTTATAATACTTTTTTTTCACACAAATAATACATTAAAAACAAACAAAAAATAAAGAAAACATTTACAGTTTTACATTACAGTACCTTGAAAAGTACAGTAGTACAGTACATCAGCTGGCATATAGGGGCTGGCATCGAGAGAACAGGCAGGAAGAGTTACTGACTGGAGGAGGGAAAGGAGGTGGGAGATGGTAGAGCTGAAGGATTGTCAGCGATAGGAGACAGAGGGCAAGCTGAAATTTCACTCACACCTGACGTTGATGGCACATACTTTGGTTCCTTGCTGGATTCAATTCTATCTACTCTTTTGAAAAAATTATCCAGTGATGTCTGGGTAGTAGCTCTTTTTTTCTCATCATAAATGACACGGTTGCACTGTATTACATTCTGAATGGCTGCTGCAACCTTCATGTACCATTCTATGCACGGGTCCTGTGACTCAAAAACTAACAGTGACTCCTCAAATAAAGAAAATCCCCTTGCCATTCCCTGCATCATGAATCTCTTTCGTTCTTCACTTACTTCTTCTTCCTTTTGTCTCTCTTTGTCCTTCCTCTGGGCCTCCAATTCCATCAGGTCTTCATTAGCAAGCTCCTTGTGTTGCACAGCAAGGAGCTCAGTGAAATTGTCCTCTTGCAGATCTAGCTCCAGCTTCTCACTGAGAGTCACTAAGTTGCTGAAGACCTCTTTGGATTCCTCATCCACCTTCTCAAATCCACAAAAATCGCGACCAAACTGTGGGCAAAGGTTCTTCCAAACCCCATTCATGGTGACGGCTGTAACCTCATGCCAAGCAAAGTCAATGGTTTTTTTTATGGCCTTGTAGATGTTATTGTCCTTCCAAAATTGTCACAAGGTTGTTCCTGATTTGTCACTCACCTTTACTGCCTGATGAAAAGTGTGACATAAATATTTCTTGAAAGTCCCTATAACTCCCTGGTCCATGGGTTGGATGAACGACGAAATATTCAGTGGCAGATTCACTACTTTGATGCTGGAATGAAAGTTGTCCATGAATGGGAAGTGGCCCAGAGCATTGTCCAGCAGCAAAATAATGTTGAATGGGACATCCTTCTCCAAGCAATATTACTCTACCTCCGGGATAAAGGGTGGAAAAACTAATCCTGGAAAATGGCCTGTGTAACCCAGGCTTTGGGGTTACTCTTCCACACAACACGAAGAGAGCCGTTGGCTATGTTTTTAAGGGCTCCTGGGTTCTCTGAATGATAAACTAAGAGAGGCTTCAGCTTCATATCACCAGAAGTATTGTCACCAAACAACAGAATTAGCCTATCCTTTGCTGCTTTATAGGGTGGCATCAACTTTTCCTCCTTTCTGATATAACTTTGGTCTGGTATCCCCTTCCAGTACAGTCCTGCCACATTCACATTAAAAACCTGCTTGGGCAAATACGTGCCTTCATCAATAATTTCTTGAAGCATTTCAGGAAATTCCTGGGCAGCTACCGTATCTGCACTCACTGCCTTGCCACTTACTTTTTTTT